TTCTGCCCTTAAAGAACCTTTTTATAAACTTGAGGCATTTTTAGTACTTTGGAATTATCAGCTGAAAGGCACTTTTCTGATGCAAATCATTTGCTTCACTGTTGTAGTGTGTGGCTGGCAAGGAAGTAGGAGGTGTCCATTCAGCGCTAGAAGGGAAATCCCTGTCCCCTAAGCGAATGATCCTGCAAGATGCAAGTTCTAAATTTCTTACCTCCTTGAGGCCTGCCTGCTGCAGGGGAATGAGATGGGGTTATGTGGAATTTAAAGAACTTCTGTAGGGAGCCCTCTGTGATCCTACTCCTTATCGTTTTGTTTAGTAGGACTGTCTTGATGGCAGTCATTAATAAGGTCTGTGATGGTTTGGGTTTTTTCCCCCAGCTAATTGCTCTTTTGATTTGGGCTTTTTGGGCTTTTTAAAGTCTGTGATAGGATTGCTGTTTATAATATGTAATAACCACAAGAATCTCATAGAGTTTTCTGAGGTCAGACTGTCACTATGCTTTTGTTTGCTTATGCTGAGCTAGTACTTGGCAGCTTGTGTAGTAGCTCAGCCATTCTCTAAATTAACAGGTTGTTCTTTGTATTTGAAGTGATTGATGTGATTGAAGTGACTAGCATGTATATGCCTAAATAAATTACTTCGGGGGAGAGAGGGATCCAAATGGAGAAAACTGGATAGGTCCAAAGACAGTTTGTTGTAAGAACCATCGTATGTTGAAGAATGTGGAAAGGACTTAAGTGAGAATAAAATCTCAGACCAGAAAGATGTATGGGAAAGTACAATTTTACTCTCAAATCTTTGCTAATGGAGGTTCAAGGATGTAGATTTTGTTATATTTCTCTGGAGGCAAAAGCCCTGGTGCAGATGCAGACATATTGAGAAAAAAATCAATTGCCAGTACAACAATTTATTTTTCTGTGATAGCAATGTTGGGTCAACCCTTCTGGGCTTTGGCTTCCTAAGCAACTCGAGAGTCTATAGGAAAAGGATCATTTAACTGCTTAAATTCATTTTAATAATATTGCCAAATCATTTGTCTCAAACTTCTTTTTCAAAGGACTTAGAGTCTACATGGGTGTTTTCTTAAGAGCTGGCACTCCTGTTTCTGTGAATCAGCAATAGTTCTGAGTCTTTTTGCAGGGCTTCGTTATTTGGCATCGTGTTGGCATGACAGGAGAATCCTGTGTCCCACAGAATTTTTAGAGCTCACCTGCTGTTTAAAATCCCCTTGCATGTCAGCATGTGGGAGCAGTAGGTCAGTTGTTTGTTTGTGCTTAACTTACATACTTACAAATACGGTCTAAAGATAAAGGACTGGCCTGATTCTTTACATCTGTATACACACAGTTTTTATTATTTTTTCCGCAAGTGATGCCCTGGACTTAATAAGATAATGGGAGGACCCCGACTCATAGGTCTAAATGAAGCTGCAAAATACTGTTTTACACCCTTGAACTACCTTTTATTTGCACATACCGCTATATCATTGTATGACATTGGCTTTTGAATACACGTGTATTGCATAAAGCTAATACATTGTTCTTGATTTTGCTTTGCAGTACAGAATTGGACAGCTGTACATGATAAGCAAGCATAGCCATGAGCAGAGTGACCGAGGTGAAGGTGTGGAAGTGGTGCAGAATGAACCCTATGAAGACCCAAACCATGGCAATGGTCAGCTAACAGAAAAACGCGTCTATCTCAACAGGCAAGTGCAATAAAACTGTTTCTCTCAGCATGGGCTGTAATAAAAATTTGCAAGGAAGATCCCTTCCAGGCAATAGCCTTCCTGTTTCAAGTAGAACGTGTTCCCGTGAATACATGCCGCTTCCGCAAGAAGAAGGAAGGTGAGATAGATCAGTGGCTTGAAATAGAGGGATTAGTTGTCATTTCTTCTAGAGTATCTTTTCTAAGAGAAAGAATTATAACTTGAAGTTAAGGATGTACTGAAAATCAGAACTTTTGTTTTCTTTTACACTTAACTGTTTGTCATTCTGTTTTCCAAAACTGGGGGGGGGGGAACCAAAAAACTAAAACCCAAAACCAACAAACACCCCACCCCCCAAAAAACCCAAAACCAAACCACTAAAATGATTTAAGGGTTTCTCACCTCATAATAATGTCACAAAGCCAGTATCCCATTTTTGGTGGCAAGAGATTTGCCTCAGCAAAGTTAATTGACATTGTGAATGACCAGGAGGCTTGTACACTGATGACCTTCTGCACCAAAATAATAGGCTTAAAGACATGATGGAAAAATTGCTTTTGTTTCCCCGAAGTTCCATCATTTCTTAAAGTGAAATACATGTCTCTTCCTATGGTGCAATTATACTGCTGAGGATCAATGCCTCAGCCTGAGACTCAAAGGCCAGAGATGTTTAAATATATATATATTTGTGTCCTATGAAATATATTGCTCAATCTGTTCCTGTTTTTACTACTGCTGATCTAATTGAATATCACTGCTTTTCTGAAGTTCTTCTATTCCCCTGTGCCTGCCTGTTTCATTTTTTTAAACTTATGCTCTGCAGCATTTCATAGTGGGCATAGAAACACTATAGCTATTGCTTCTACATTGCAAGTTACTCCTCCACTGCAATCCTGACATATCTAACCTTAACTCAGGCTAAATTGAATCGCCAGTAATGTTGCGCACACACACACGAGTCCAATAATATATGTCTTGCCAACATTTAATATTATTGTGATAGTAACTCTGTTCTCTCGCAGGCTAGATACAGTACTTGGGAAAAATCAATAAATGTGTTTCTATTGTAGAGCTCCCAGAAGTTGTGGGGGTTTTTTAATGTTTCTGGATATTTCTTTCCTTCATGTTAAAAAGAGATAAGGCTTTAAGCACTGAAGAGCATATTCAGAATTACCACTTTAGGGTAATTCAGAATAATCGCAAGGACTGTGTCCTAGAAAGCACGTACAAGGCATTCTTGGGAAGCATGTAGTTTCTTGTAGTGCAGGCAATGGAACGAAGGATCTCCTACCCAAAGACGGGTACCAACATTGACAAAGGGTATCTGTGTGCCTACAACGACTTGGGAAGTTTACCTAAAGCTATGGTGGATGTTTGAAGTCAGGCTCACTGAGTTTAATGATAATTATGAATACTCCTTGATAATCATCACCAGATTTGCTATTTGAATCTGGTTTTGGTGTCACAATACCACCAGATATTGCAGTACTATTGAAGTTTTGTGGAAAGGATCAGCAGGTTTTCTGGCAACTATGGATTTTGCTGGGAGGCCAGGATCTCTCTGGAAGACTTCACCCAAGGAGACATGCTGCCATTCAAGATGTGCTGAAAACTTTTCCTCTGCCTGCCTGCCTTGAGGAACAGGACTCCTTAGACCAGCACAGTTCTCTCCCTCATCTTCTCGTCTTCCAGGGTCCACCGCCCTAATAAACTTGCTAGCTTTGCTTCACTTTATTTTGCTCTGGACTGATCTCTCCTGAAGAAAATTGAGCTTATATATTCAGTGATGGTTTCTTGGAAAGATTTGTGCATTATTTTCATTTATCTTTTCTTGCCTGATAAAACTTTAATTCTTGCAGAGGATCTTCTTGCTTACCAATGGTTTCAGCTGGAATGCCTTTAAGAAACACTTCCTCCCTATGTGCTGAAAGGCTGAACTTCATCTGTGGAAGGAAGAAATTTAAAAAAAAAAAAAGAGAATGTGATGCACAGATACCTGTGCTGCTAAAATAGAAATATTGGATTTTCTTTCTCTGAATGGACCCTTGGAGCAATTCATGTGTGTCAATGACCATAACTTGCTGGAAACTCTGAGTATAATGTGTGTTTATGCTCATAAAATTACTATTTGTTTTGGACATGTGCTGTACCGGCAAAGATAAGTAGACAGGCAAATATGCTGAAAACAACAATAACAAAAAATGTGCAAAATGAGCAGCTGTATGTTAACAAATACATTACTAGCAAAATTTTCTAGTGTCAGTGTAAGCCTTAGTTATATTCAGACTTGTTTACTGCTGCTTCTCTCCTGCTGGAGCATTGTTTTCAGAAGCTGAAAGTCTGCATCCTCTGGTATTTATTTTTTAGGCATCAGAGTAAAATTTAGCAGGGGTAAGGGTGGGAGCAGAGAGGTAGTCATAAAAAGACACTGACAGAGGCTGACAAAACAAGATCTGCTACAGTGAAGTCTATTATGCAGTATGTAAAATGCTGCCTAAAAGACTACACAAGAAAGGTTTAAGTAAAGAAAAGAATCTGGTTTTGAGCAATGTCATCAAAGAGCAAAAGTCAGTGCACTTGACTTTGAATCTTTAGATAATGTACTAACATCTGCATTCTGCCTCTGGACAAATACAATATTTATGTGTAGCTAGATCATAGTTAAATAAACCTTAATGATCCAAACTCTGAATTTTCCTCAGAAATTTACAAATATGGAAAGTTAATTTACTTTCTGCACCCAGTTATCTAAACATAACTGTTGCAAACATTTACACTTGGAAAACTGAGGTTTGAAAGCATCTACTTTAGTTCAGTAAAGATCCAGTCTTAGGCTGGGTGATCTGCTTGACACATCGCCAGACTAACACAATTTTAACTGAGTCTCTGAAGTAGAGTGATATTTGTGGTCTCCAAAGGTCTGCCTCCCTTTGAGTGACTAGTACTGCATCTTCGTTACTGGCGGCTTCCGTGATTATAATTGGTGTCATTAAGAAAGGGTTGAAAGATGAATTCTCATGAACTTGCCTTCTCTTTAAAATGTATGTTTGTTTGTCACTTCTTTGGTACCCTGAATGACCAGAGTTCTGGAAATGAGAGGACCAAGATCCATGGTAAAGAAAATGCTCCCACTCTTCCATAGTATTATTTAATTACCCTCTAGCGATCTTTCCATGTGCTGTATCCACATCTTTCATTTCTTACTCTACTGCTGTTGTACCACCGCATTGGTAAGTTCTCTCGACAGATTGAGCTCTGAGCTATGACACCAGTTCCATTAATTCTCTTCACTTTTGTGATTTACTTTTCCCACCAGCAAAATGGGACTAATGCTACCCACCAGCCTCACAGAGGTGTTTTGAGTGATTTGTTAATTTTAATATAAAAGCTTCCTACTCGAGAGTTGGTGTTGGTAGCGTGGGAAAAACTGCGCACTAGGTGAGTTGAACGTAAGGGTTTGTGTGCCGGCAGAGAACATGGAGGAAGAAGAAATAGTCTCTAAGAAGAAATAATGGGATTGGGATCAAAGTGGACTGAAAGCACATCTTTACTCGTGACCTCTTGTTAGAGAGTGCCTCCCTGTGGTTAAGAACACTGTGACACAGATGCACCTTGCATGGTCTAACCTGCTGAGTTCATCCGTGACCAAAGGTTTGAGGCCGTAAATTCTTGAAATCTGCAACATCAATTTAAATCTGATCAGAGGTTATTACGGTGGCACCGTATTGTTCACTTTGAGAGGGGAGCGAACAGACTTGGTTTCATATATGCTTGTGGAGAAAGCTGAGACAGAATGCATAGTCATGAGATGAAAACACCGTTGTGAAGTCTAGGTATTGCTGTATCCTGTGAAATACCTGTCAAAGTCCGAGCACGTTTTGTAGAAAAGAAGATACTTCCATACTCATAAGTCATAACTTATTCTAATTTTATATTTTCTTTTTATTTCCAGCAAACTGCCTAGCTGGGCTAGAGCAGTTGTTCCCAAAATATTTTATGTTACAGAGAAGGCTTGGAATTATTATCCTTATACAATCACAGGTAAGGAATAAAGCAGAAACGATTACTGACTTGTACTTTTTGGATAGTTTAGCTTATCTTCAGAAGCTCCAAGTTACATATTGAGCCACAGATGCCAAGTTACTTTAACAACTCCTGTTGAACTGCATATATTTTTCCATCTTACATTGACTGATATCAGGAAATAAAGATTATAGACTATGGATAGGTAAAAACTGGAGTGTTGTATCTATGCAGTTTCTTCCTTGCAAAGAAAACGTCAGGCACTTAGATTCTGTGCTGACTTGTACCCTTTATTGTTCCATAGACGTTAGTCAAATATAAATCAGCAGATTATCTGACACAATTTCTTTTTATTATTAATGTATGTTTACTGTAAGGATCTTACATCATTGTTTTATTTCACATTTCTTTTTTTTTTCTTTTCCCTCATCATTCTTTTTTTTACAAATGGACAATTGGAAATCAGAATACACAGTAAGTTTTTCTTCCTCTTTTTATTCTAAAAATAGAATAATTATGTGAAATATAGTAGCGGAATCCAAACTGATTCCTTATTAATATAACTAATACATAATGCATTCAACAGTGGAACTTTATTTTAGCTATTTGTTTAAGAAATTTAAGGTTAAATTTGAAGTGTTTCTGTGGAGATCCTATAAATTATTTACCTTTATTTTTTATCACTTCAAAATAATTTGATATATTTTTAGTCACTGACTGTAACAAAGAGAAGCTTCTATAAAACAGGGCAAGGCTTTTAAGGTTCCAGTTATTACGTGGAGACATGAGAACAGATTTTATTTTATTTATTGTTTTATTAACTTATAAAATGCTCATCTCTGGTATAGTATCTGGGAAACTGTACAATCTGTAGACAAAATTAAACATCATCTGGGCACGGTGCCCAGAAAAATCAGCTATTCCCTCTAGCAGAGCTAAAGCAAAATATAGCACATAAATCATGAGAAAAATTGTTTTAAATGTGCTGGCCTCAATAATACACAGTAAGTTTTCCGCAGCCTTTGGGAGATGAGGAGGAGATGGTGAGGAAGTTCCAGGTAAAGGGACCTTTCGGAAACTCCGGCCTTGATTTAGTTTGAACTTCTGACTGTAGATGAAACATAATCCACTTGTTTTTCTTAACTCTGCAGTGCTCAAAATGTTTGTGCAGTTTTTTCAAAACCAGTAAAGAATACGGAGAGGAAAAAAGATTAATGTGATAAATGTGAAAGAGAAAAAATAAAGGGATTTAAAGGCTCAGATCTGAAAGCTGGAGACTTAGAGTTGAAACTTTGATGACCAGGTTTGAAAATCCAAAGTACCAGACGGAGCTTTTGAATATGTATTGTAGATACTTATTACATATTCTGCTTTGTTTCATGTTTAAAATTCATTTGATTGTCGGAGGAAACCCAAATATCCTATAATGGGCAGTAGTAATGAGGGGACAGATTCTCAGCTATTTTTGTCAGAAGATATCTTCAGTGGGGCCTATCACAGTTTACATTAGTTAAGGGTTTACCCTTTGAGAGCAGGTTTAATCTTAGGCTGGGAAGATGACGTGCTATGTTGCATTGATGTCTGTTACTTACACTCTGTATATTTTTTTTCTTCAACTGAAAGTCACTTGGAATTCTTTAATAGGACTTTTTTTTTTTTCTTTAACTGAAAGAGACAGGTAGGAATGATTAAAGGGGTGGTAGCAGGCAGAAATATATGTCTGAATTTGAAATGCAATACACTATCAAAACCAAACAGCAATGCTGTACTCACGGAATTTGAATCAGGAGGTGATCTTTATCTAATCTGATGAGACAACACCTGGAACACGTTTCGGTGAAGCTATACAGCTAAAGAGATGCTCAAGAGCATCAGCAAAAATGATTGCAGGGTTGAAGAGGTTTGTAAAGAAAAACTAAATGGGTCTACAGATGTAGGACATAGGCAAAACAGTCACTAAGTGACAGTATAACTGCCTGTGGGAGTTGGGGACTAATTACTCACCATGGTGCAAGGAAACAGAACTAGAAACATTGGGATGAGATTAAGGAAACTGGACTTCAGACAGAAATCTAAAATATGTTTTAATGGAGCTGATAGACTATGAAATTATCTTCAAGGGAAATAGAAAAAGTGCCTTTGCCTCAAACTCTTGAATCTAGAATAAAAATATGCCACTGGGAATAATTCCTATCCTTGTCTGGAATATTTCTCTAAATTTTGATCTTCTATATTCATTAGAGAATTCTGAAAGAAAGAATAAACCCACAGACACTGCCCAAAATATGTAAGATAGCTTGAAAACCCTTTTCTTAAAGATAGTAAATTCCCTCTAAAGGGTCTGTGGGACATCCTAACAATTAAACAGTCTTAAGGTTTTTCAGCTGTAAAATATGAAGGCTGTTGAGAAATTGCATTCAAGCACATACACTAGCATTCAGAGATTCAATGCAGAATAATTTCATCAATCTGGTTTTCCTGTGAAATATTATGGATTTCATAAATACAACCTTCTTAAGGACCTGAAATTAGGACATCTAAGAAAAAAAGCTCAGCAGGCATTGAAAATAATTTCCAGAATATTGTTCTCTGCAATGGTAGTATAAAAAGCCAAGAGTGATCGGATGCATGAAAACAGGAATGGAAATCAGAGTGTCATGATGTTAGTACTCTATAATCTGGGTTCAGTTATGATGGCATCTGCTTTAAGGAATGGTATTTGTTACACAGCAAACCCCTAAATTTGACAGCAAACAGCAGGAGCTGACTGCTTGGTCTACTACCAAGTCTTGACAACCATATTAATAATATGTAAAGCAAATGACACACTTAAGATAATGAGCTTAACAGAACTATTGCACAAGTGGTGCTTTCGTGGTGTGTAATATGTGCAATACTGTAATGTCAGGAGAGCATTTTAAAATGTATGCTACGCTGTTTGTGGAGGAGGGCCTCATTAAAACTGCAATACAAAAGACTTCCTGCCAGGAAGACGAGACACGGGTAATGTCCCAAGAAATGCTGTATCAAAGCTTGAGCTAATCCTAGCGAGCTTCCTGCTGCCATTGAGAGGCAGGAGGAAGTAGAAGAAGTACTTTCGAAGCTGAAGCCAAAGGAAGTCGTCCAGATTTGGGGGTACTACTTAGAGAATAAGATACTCCTATAAAGTCCAAACCCTTGTTTTAGTGGCTGGGGCATTACTTAAGAACTGTAGGTGGGAAAGTCTCTTAAACTTAGAACAGGAGTTGCTTTGGTTTTGATCTTGTAGTAGAAACCTGACAAGATACATTTATAAGTTCATTTAATATTGTGATTAGGTTGATGCTAAGCTCATAAATTTGGGATACTGTATTGGGGATACAGCTGAACAGGAGCCTTACAGAAGTAACTCGCAGGGACTCTGCTCTATGAGCAATTACAGGACTTGGGTACTGGTGAGTGCCACCTGTCAAGCTAAACTTGGTATTGGGGAATGGGTGTTGCTAGCTGCTGGCTTTTAGAAAGAATTCCTTTGCTAGTCACAGGCTGGAACCTTTTTCGCTTGGAGGATGGAGGAAAGATGCCTTGCAGCTCTCAACAAACCCTTATGTGCCAGCTTATCACAGCATTTGCAAATATGTCTCTTTAGTGTGAAATATTTATGCTATTCTTAGATATGTGGACAAGAATGACTGAACTCTCAGGAGGCTTTCTTATTTTTCTTTCTGAGGTTGTCCAGCTAGATTAGAAATAATTAACTAGAAGCAAACCTGTCTCTATTGCAAACCAAATGAAAAAGGATTGCATAGAACTAAGTTTCTTTACATGCAGCAGGATAGTGTTAGACAATAAGCAGCACAGAGCAAATATCCATTTGACCTGTTCAAGTGACAGTTGAGATTCTGGACAAGAAGAGAGGAGCCTCAAGCAAACAAATAATCACATCACGAACATACGGTGACTCAACCGTGGTACAAAAAACTCCTGTGATCAAAGTACACTGAAAATGAGCCTAACAAAGTTTAGCTCTCAAGTTGGAGTACAAAGAGGTTAGGAAAAATACAAACAGAAGTTAAGCAAACTCTTCTGACTTTGAAGGTGCAGTTCAGGTGTCTACCAGGGATAATTTCAAATAGTTTTGCTCTCTGATCTGAACAGCTCCAGTGTAGTTAACAATATTTCAATTCTGGGGCTGAAATTTAAAAACAGATGGATAATTTTTTTTATGCATAATCTATGGCCAATTGTTAGTTTCACAATTATAAGTATATAAAGCAAAATAAAGATTAGAAATAGCATGTTTTACTCTCTGCAAGGAGGAAGAGCATTCTTTCAACCTGCCAGTGTCTCAAATTAACTTAGGAATAGGATATAAATTCAGAATATTTATGAAAAACAGTTATGGAACAGAAAGCAGGAGATGACGATTCCTTTGATATATCACAATGACGCTAATTCTTCTACAGCAAATGACTGAGGCAAATAAAATTATTTCGTCTGGTATGTGTCAAGGCCTCATAGTTGCTAAATGTTCCATTATTGACCTGCTGGTTTCTGATTACTTTTGAGAACAGGCATGTTATGTGCTTCACTTAGTTAGCTGCCAGTTTGCCCATGAAGTAAATTATCTGGAAGGAATGTTTTTGTAATTGTTATTTTTATAATCAGATGACTTGGGAAGGAAAACAAGTTGTTTCAGATAAACATCGCAAGGAATCTGTAGAGTTTTTTTCCTGTGTTCTCTTTATCTGATTACCAGTGCTTGAAAATTGAATGTAACCCATCAGTCTTCAGTGCGCAACTTTTCTCCATCTTGAGTATATGAAGGGTCTGCATCAAAAATGCAACAGAATCTGTATTGCAGGATTAGAGCCTAATACAAAGTTACAACCAAAATTCCTCCCCTGTCACCCCCAACTTAGAAGACAGGCTAACTGGTGCCGTCTCTCTAATAAAACACAGATTTGGTTCCTTTAGAGATTCTAGCAAAAGGAAGGACCTCTGTAGTATTTATGAGAAACAAATAATATATTTTCAGAAAGCTTGCAAACCTGTATTCTCATTTAATAGCTTAATCCCATTGAAACAGAGTAAATCAAACTGCTTGGGAGAATTCCCTTTTTCCACCACTGGCTTATGTAAAGCAATCCAAACCCCTCTCTGATTCATGGGACTGTCATTTTCGCTTGGGCATGCTGCTTCTTACTTCTGTTCTTCCTCAATAAACAGGTTACTGTTCCCATGTATCAGAGAAGGAGGTCCTAAGGGAAGGCAAAAACCAGAGATAAGCACTGAGTTTCGTAGTGGTTGGAGGCAACTTGTTAGTTGACTGTTTCATCTTCAAGTTATTGTATGTAATACAAACAAATAGTGGTTTTCTTCCTGAGCTTGTTTATGAGAGTTTAACTCCCTTGCTTATTTTCAAGCCCTTTTTTTGCATTGTTCCTACTCTTTCCGCTCAACAGCGCTTTTTCTGCTCTTTGCCACCTTCCTGT